TTCGCTTGGAATTTACAAAATCATTTACGTTTTATTTTTCAAGGCCATTGTTATCCTTCTGTCTAATATTGATGGGAGTTTCACTCCAAACATTTTGGTCATCATCATCATCTGTCATCATCATCTGTCATCATCATCTGTCGCTCGATTGCTTCAATCGCCGATGGGGACGCGATAGCAGAAGAGACAGACAACCTCCTCCAGTCTGATCTGTCGGCGATGGCTCTCAGGAGCATCGGCATTGTCCTGTCCGTCCACTCTTTCGTTAAAGAACATTCCACGTTCCGATGGTTGTGCCCTGCGTTGATAGCTTCGCTTCAGTCACCCACACTTGTCACGCCCAGCCCTGGAGTGAGGGAATCGGACGCGCGGTCGTTGTTGATCCGGACTACGACCGATCCAATATGTTGTTGCTTTGATTTTTCTTCCTCATCATCTTTTCAGCGGACATTTAGATAGCATGGCGGCGACCATCTCCTCTCGAAGGAGTTTATGGGAATGAGAAAAGTCAATATCTTGATTATATCCGTATTTTTCTTCCCATTACATGTGTTATCCATGTTAGTAGTTGTTGCTATTGGAAGTCTCCAAGTTAGGGTTTTTTTTTTTTGTTATTTGGTAAAGCACTTTGTAGCATCAGTCTATAGGAAGCTAATGAAGTATTGGTCATTTTAAGACCTGCAGTCTTTATTCTCTTGAAGGCATTTTAATCATTGATTTGAGAAAACGGCTGTATATCGCTGATAGATTAGAATCTAATAGTGTTTATATATGGCTGATAGATTAGAGTACAATCGTGCTCATATATCGCTGATTAGAGTCTAATCGTGTTTATATTTCGCTGATAGATTAGAATCTAATTGTGTTTATATATGGCTGATAGATTAGAGTCTAATCGTGTCCACTCATTAGACCTTTCTAAACATATTGGATGCCATGAATGACACCCATATGTAAATCGTAATATAATATCAATATATATGGATGATTCGCCTGTTATTTTTCGACATATGAGGCTCAGGCAGCCCAGTTCATTGAACCAAACAGTTACATATATGCTTTGATTATAGTGGTGAGGGCTTGTGTAGAATCGACCACAGTTTTTGGAAGAGCCTAATACAGAGGATACACAGCGCGCCACAGTTCCCAAACGACGCTGCTCAGGTTTTGAATTCAGAATTGTCCTTCTCCTAGACCGGTTGCCACCCGGTCTGTTGTGTTATTTATCCATAGCTGGAGAAGAAGAGATGGATTTCTAGCTTTCCAAAGGGTATTGGAACGTGAGCGAATATAACGAACTTAACTGGAATTCAAACTCTCCAATACCTCTATCCGAAACCATCCATTACACCACATATCTAATATATAATAGAAATATTATCTTAATAATATGAAAGTCTCTCGTTAATAATGTTTTCTTTCCTCATATTATCCTACACTTAGTAACTCTTTGCGTCTTAGTGGCTTTATTGCCCTGCTTGGGGTGAAATTATTAAGAATTTATATATTCTAAATGTCTAAATAGCCTCCTGCTATTTAGCACCATCGCTTGAGTTGTCAAATTTATATTCTTTGTTTTAAATGAAGAAAAATGGGTTAAGATCACTTCATGGTTGGGCAAATTTTGTGAATCTCGGCGTTACTAAATTTTGAATTTCGTGACTTGGGCTATTTTTTATAATAAAATATGCTTAGTTGTGATTATAATGAGAAAGAAGCAACTTCAAAATTTATTTCGAATAGTCATTAAAAATCTAGTCCAATTCTGTTATGGTAAATTACCCATACACAGATGGACTCCGCCAAGTTACAAATAAAAGCAGAGAGAGTCTAGATTCCAGCAGTCAGCTCTGATAGTCGGACTTAATATTCTTGCTCGATTGTATATGCTTAGTATTACTGTTTTTCTGTTAATATATTTGTTAACTTAATTCTTTTCTTTGTGTCTTTCTTTCTGGCCCCAAAAAGGCCACAACAAATTCGACATTAAGAGCCCAACCTAACAACCTTGAAATTGCGGGAAATTTATTATAAGAATTGCGTTGCTATATAAGCAGAGACAGATTATAGAGCAAAATCCATTGAGAGAAACGTCAAATAAAGTATCTAATACCAGATTCATAAAAGAATTATGAAAAAAAAAACACAATAAAGAGAGAGAGAGAGAGAGACAGACAGAGAGACAGAGAAAACAGACAGACAGAAAGATAGGTTACAATAGATTTATAGATAAGGTTCAGACTGATAAAAAATAAAAAAAGAACGTTGCTGTCAAACGTAAGTCATAACAATTTTTCACATGGGCTTTCCCTCTTGGTACCTCCACTTTACGCATTTAAGCGCCGTACTAGATTGGCACTTGGGTCTCATCATTTTTAACAGTTGAAATTCTTAGATGCAACTAAAAGTTCTATACTAACAGTTTCTTCTCTCACACTTCTCACTTGTAGAAATATATGTATGTATATCTTTTTCTCATATTCTTTTCCACTCAGTAACCCGTTGTGTCATAGTGGCTTTATTGCCTTGCTTGACGATTAAAAAATTAAAAAAAATTTTGATAGATATATCAATCTATCACTATTTTTATATTTACAAATCAGATAGATAGATAATGAACAGATTTAGATAGATAGATAGATAGATAGATAGATAGATAATGAATAGATTGAGATAGATAGATAGATAGATAGATATTAGGACCTTGAATAAGTTCTCGTTTTCCAACAGATAGCATTCCCAGAGCTGCGTGCGTGTAGCTTCAGATGGCAACGCATCTATAAGGAAGTACTATAAGCAAACTTGAAATATAGTGTATGCCATTTCGCTGAAGTGTAAACAACTTTGTTTTACATAACCTTAAATACGTCGGATTTCGTGCCAAAGAAAGTGTATTTGCGGGGAATTTTACTGCACTACTTTATTCAAAAGAAATCTGCAGCAGAAGCACACATAATTCTTGTTGAGACTTACGGCGACAATGCTCTGTCGGAAACAACACGTAGAGATAGATTTAGATCGTTCAAAAAATTTGATTTTGATTTTGAAGATAAAGAACGTTCTGGCGCACCGAAAAAGTTTGAAAACGATGAATTGGAGGCGGTTCTTCTTGAAGACTCATGTCAGGCGCAAGTTGAACTTGCAGAATCATTAGGAGTTGATCACACAACAGTTTCGAAATGTTTGAAAGCATTAGGAATGATTCAAAAGCAAGGACATTGGATGCCGTATGAGTTAAAGCCGAGAGACGTCAAACGGCGTCTTGTCAGTGTGGACAGCTGCTTCAACAGTAGAAAAGGAAAATTTTTTTTTGCATCGTATCGTGACCGGCGATGAAAAATGGATACACTACGATAAAAGCGTAGAAGATCGTAAGGTAAGCCCGGCCATGTATCAACATCGGTAACATAACCGAGTATCCATGGTTCGAAGCTTCTGCTCTGCATTTTGGTGAGGTCAGCTGGGTGTAGTTTAATATGAGCTGCTCAAACCGACCGAAACTATCACGGGAGATCGCTGTCAACTACAACTGATGCGTTTGAGCCGAGCATTGAAGAAAAAACGGCCAATATACGAGCAGAGACACGACAAAATGATTTTGCAACATGATAACGCTAGGCCACATGTTGCAAAACGAGTGAAAACCTACTTGGAAACGCTTAAATGGGAAGTCCTACTCTACCCGCCGTATTCACCAGACATTGCTCCGTCCGATTATCACTTGTTCCGATCATGGCCTGGCTGAGCAATACTTTCATTCTTATGAAGATGCCAAAAAATGGGTCGACTCGTGGTTAGCCTCAAAAAACTTCTTTTTTTTTTTTTCGGGCGAGGAATTCAAATGCTGCCAGAAAGATGGGGAAAATTAGTGGCTTGTGATGGACAATATTTTCAGTGACATGTTTTTTAGTAATTTTTGCAAATAAAACATCACATCTTATGAAAAATCAGCGAGAACTTATCGAAGTTACTAATAAATAGATATACGTATATAGTGATTTTCCAAGCGTAGCTCAGATGTGGCACAAGGCCGAAAGTATGGGGCACCCACTGCGGATCGAAGTCACTACTCAATCGTAATTGTTCTAGCTAGACAAGCTTGCTAACCATTGCACCACCTCGAGGTGCCCAAGCTATACGTGCCTATTGGCCTTAGCATTATGTCTGTATCGACTGTTAAATTCTATATTTGTATAATGGCGTCTGTGTCTATGATAAATTTTTGAAATGTTAGCTTAAAAGTTGGATATAGTATGACGATAGACAGATATTAACAGGTTGAGATAGATAGATAGATAGATAGATAGATAGATAAAGAACAGAATGAGATAAATACATGTGAAGAGAATAAGATAGATAGATAGATAGATAGATAGATAGATAGATAGATAGATAGATATTTTATTTCTATTTCTAACATGATCAAGTTGTACGATAATTAGTTCTGCAGCTTTCAAATCAGTGTCGGAACGCCTGGAGGTTGACTGTACCGTGGTCACACCAGCTGGTGTTTAAGGCAGAATACAGGCGTCTTCGTTTCAAAGCAGCCGAGTCAGTCATGTGTGACTTTTGGTCACATGACTTCTTAATCCGTATCTCTCATCCTCTGTTTGTGGGTGAATTATCTGGCTAATTACTGCAAGTATCATTGACTGCTAATAAAAGCCGGCGTGATGTTTTGTAATCAGATGTAATATCAATTAGACTCCAAATAATGTCCAAATGCATCGTTCTCGAATGCACTTGGACCAATCAAACGAACTTTCTGTGATGACAGTGTTGGTCTTCGTACGTTTACTGTGAATTCTCTTGGCGTAAGGAGTGAAGGGATTACTGTGTCGAAGATAAGCGCTAAGAACGAAAAAGAGGACGGAAAATAAGATGCAAAACAAAGATCGTGAAGAAGAAGAAGAAGAAGAGTTGCAGGAGGAGAATAATAAGAAGAGGGGAAAATGAAGAAGACGAAAAGTAAGAGAAAGCTCTAGAGAGGGGGGAAAGAATCAAAGTGAGGATGAAGAAAGGGAACAAAATGAAAAAGGCGAAATGAAAATAGGAGAAAAAGAAGAAGAAAAAAGAAGAGGAGTAGGAGGAGGAGCATAAACAAGAAAATGGGGAAAATGAAGAGGACGAAAAGTAAAAGAGGAGGAAAGAAGCAAAGTGAGGATGAAGACAGGAAGAAAGGGAAGAAAATGAAAAAGACAAATTGAAAATAGAAGAAGAAGAAGAAGAAGAAGAAGAAGAGGAACAGGAGGATAATCAAGAAGAGGACGGAAAGTAAAAGAAAGATTTGGAGAGGAGGAAAGAATCAAAGTGAGGATGAAGAAAGGGAAGAAAATGAAAAAGGCGAATTGAAAATAGAAGAAAAAGGAAGAGGAAGTAAAAAGAAGAAGAGGAGTAAGAGTAGGAGTAGGAGGAGGAGTAGGAGGAGTAGGAGTAGGATAAACAAGAAAATGGGGAAAATGAAGAGGACGAAAAGTAAAAGAAAGAGGAGGAAAGAAGCAACGTGAGGATGGAGGAAGGAAGAAAGGGAAGAAAATGAAAAAGACAAATTGAAAATAGAAGAAGAAGAAGAAGAAGAAGAAGAAGAAAAGAGAGACGATGAAACAGAATATGAAGTGGAGAAAAAAGAATTCGGAGAAAAAGAAAAGATAACAATAAAAGATAATAAAGAAATGGCATTCACAAGAGTAAAAGAAAGAATAAAAGGATGAACAATGAGCAATAAAGAATCTATAGAAGAAGAAGAGGAAGAAAAAGAAGAAGATAGATCTTGAATATTATAAAAAAGAATGGGAAACTAATGAGGATGAAGATGAAAACAAGAAGGTAAAAGAACATTGAGAAGAAGAAGAACAACAACAACAACAAAAACAACAACAACAACAAGACCAAGAACAACAAAAACAACAACAAGAGCAAGAAGGCCCGATAATCCTAAACGAATACACATTGTGATGAGGAGATAATCGGCTGTTGACGAACGTAAGAAGCCGACGAGTTGAGTGAGTGAATGGGACTCGATGGCCAGGCAGCGCGATTAATCACGCCTTTTGTAATTTAACGTATTGAAAGTTAAAGGCATCGTAAGGATTTAATAATGAATAAAGATTCGTGTTGTCGCCGCTATTCCTTGGGATTGAAGATTGAATATGGTTTTAGCAATAGATGCTTGTCTATCAAAGGAGAGATGGCAATAACACACACACACACACACACACACACACATACACGCACGCACATACACATACACAATAACTTTCTCATAAATCTCTTGTTTGGTTGCAGGTGGTTGAATTAAGCTGATGTATTAAGACAAATATTAATCCGTTGATACCCATTCAACGCTTTCACCTATCTTTTCATATCTATTTGTCGAGACCCGAAAACATCTTTAAACGCACTGAGAAACCCACGACGAAATTTCAATATTTTGGCTGTAAACTTTCTTTTGAATAAGTTTTATTCAATAAGACTGAGTGTTTTATTATTTTTTCTATTAATTTATTCTTATTGGCTGACAATAAGTTTTATTTCTGTAAATTTTCCAACAATTTTTCCATCATTAGTAGAACTATTCATGAAAGTCTGTTTTCGCCATTATTTTTCATCAAGTCGTTTAAGTTTTTAAATTTGATTTTTTAAAATCATACAATTGAACACGCACGACACCACAAAAAAAAAAAAAAGAAAAAATAGCAACAAAAATCAGATGTTATGTTTTAAAGATTTTTCATTCTGCAGTTTTGAGTCATGTTTTGAGTGGAGTTGTTGGCCTTTTGTCAGGAAAGCCGTAGTAGTTGCATTAATCACTACATATGCTTCAAACGTTATTTCTTGGACTTTTAATTTTGGATTTACTAGGAGGCACGGTGGAGTAATGGATAGCAGCTCGCATGATTAAGAGAACGCGGTTTCATTTTAGAGTCGTTAAAATTAACAAGCCACTTCCTGTCCTAGTTTACAACAGATGGTGGGTCATTTTCGAAATCAGTTGCCGATTTGATTTTATTGATTGAGTCGTATTGAAATGCACCATTTTTCTTCAGAAATTATAAAAATGATTTAAAATCAATCGTTTTCTTACAAAAAATGTGTCTCAGCAGCAAGTCACGGGTAATTCGGATATATATATATATATATACAACAGGGCCAGTCTGACGAAAATAATTAAACATAATTAATAAATAAATGGAGTGTCAATTCAAATATTGGATATCGACAAAAACTAAAGTTTAGAAGTGATAAAATATTTTTTTTTATGTGTATGTACAAGTGAGAAGGATATATATATATATATATATATATATATATATATATATATATATATAGATAGATAGATAGATAGATAGATAGGGAGAAAGAGAGAGCGCGTGACATATATATATATATATATGTGTGTGTGTGTGTGTGTGTGTGTGTGTGTGTGTGATTAAAGACGACCGTCAAGGTATTGTGATTAATCTTTTTATTTAATTTTTCTTTTCTGGGCACAGAGTGTGTAGAAATTGCCCAAATGTTTTATAATTCCGAGCGCTTTCGGCTCTACTTTTAGCAATTATCAAGATGATTTTATTTTTGCTTTTTAACTGAGTGTATGGGTTGTGTGTACGTTTCTAGAATTATAGGGATGATAGCCCCAAAATCATACCATTTTGGAATCAAGCCGACCCCGTGAGCAATTTAAAATCATTCCGGACATGATCCGAACAAGCAATTCCGAAATTTTCGATTCACAAGTTTTCATTACTGCGATTTTTTTCGGCGTGTTTTTTACGTGATTTTTTTGTGACGAATTTTTTTGTACGATTACAGTTTTTATAATTTGAAAATTAATTTGGGAATAATCGAAATTAATTGTGAAATCAAGCGAAAGTCACCCATGAAATAAAAGTAAGGACCTACTTATATCAGATTCTCTTTAGATTAAGTGAAGGTAGAAGAATTGACGTCAGACTTTCAAAAAGTAAGCTTAAAAATTAATGCATTGTTAAAATGCAGCGATCAATTTTGAGTTCTGTAGCTTATTGCTGCCTATTGAATTTAATCCTCCCTACCTAGTGTGATGAAGGACCAATCAAGAGCCCTTCGCAGGCGCTAGCTTGAATATCACCTGATAAGGCGGTTTTAAGCTAATATATATATATATATATATATATATATATATATATATATATATATATATATATATATATATATATATATATATATATATATATATAGTTGGACTGATGTGAGTTTGTGAGCCTGGGTTTCACGCTATTTGTGATTGTCAGACAGCTGAATATGGTAGCTCTATCATTGATATTGAGCGCTTTCCAATAAGTACCAATAATAATATATATAAAAATATGCATATATATTTATATATATATATATATATATATATATATATATATATATATAGATATACATCCATACATCCATCCATATATATATATATATATACATTATATATATATATATATATATTTATATTTATATTTATATACATACAATTATATATATATATATATATATATATAGCTTAAATGTCACTTGATAGGGCAGCTTTTAAGCTAGTTATATATATATATATATATATATATAATTATATATATATATATATAAGCTAGAGCTATATATACATGTATGTATGTGTAAAAATTTCAGATTGAGTATATTTCTAAAAAGGTTATTATAAACAAAGACAAAAGGAAAACTTATCTTTGTCGACGTGTTTCGTTCTCAAGGCAAATCTAAGGATTTTATTTTGTCACATATTTTTCTACAAGAACAAAAAAGTTTGTTTTTTTTTTCAAAATTTTTAGCTGTAGGAGTGCTCATGAACATACATCAGATTAACGGAAAAGGCAGGTAACTTGATGGACATGAATCTTTAACCATTCCTATACCTAAAACCTTTTTAGTCTTGTATATAAATACTTGTCACAAAATAAATTCCTTACATTTGCCTTGATAAAAGTCCCTCAAGTTTTCGTTTGTCTTTATCCATATATATATATATATATATATATATATATATATATATATATATATATATATATATATGTGTGTGTGTGTGTGTGTTTGTGAAGTTTTATATATATATATATATATATATATATATATATATATATATATATTTTTAAACAAATGTTTTTTTAAACAGGGTTTAAGACAAATTGCGCCTACTGTAGAACATTTTCTCTACTTGACAGTTTAGTTTGCATATATTAGAATTGAAAGTATGAACGAACTTCCCAGAATTCATTATTTCAAACTTTCGATTGACTTCAGTCGTTGTCAAGAATTAACGTCCATTTTATTATAATGCTCTGATGGCTTTGTACGTCAATTTTACATAAGATGCCTAAGTTATTTTTAATTTTTTGAATGTGCTTGATGTCATATGAACCTGATGGTATTTTGTGAATTTAAATGTGATGTCACGTGAATGCTTTGTCATATGGCTTCTGAGAATTTAAATCCATTTTAAATTTCGTCTTCCTAAATTATAATTTGTTTTTGTTGATTATTGATTGTTTTAAGAGAATATGAATAGCTACTGAAATTTGGAACATTTTTATCGTCTGTTTGAAGTATTATTGTATTATCAACAAAGAAGCCATTATTGTAACTGTGTTTCTGTATCATGCATTGCGTTATTGCGGTTTGCGCTGGTATATGACAAGTGGGTCAACGAGACAGGCTTTGGGTTATATCTACTATATACGAGTTTTTTTTTTTTAATTTTCTTTTCAAAGATGCACTTTCTAAAGTCTAAGGGAATTTGAAATCGACATTAATCTATAGATTTAATTTTATTGAGGTTTCATTATTGACTACGAATATGAAGTTTTAATTTTTATAGCAACTCATGGATTGTAACTGTTTATAAGTGTTTGTAGGCTTGATGTATCCATTAACATTTTTGTTTATAGCTATTTTATCTTGTTTATAGAGGGAGGGAATATGGTTAGAATAGAATAAATTGCTGTTGTTTACGTCTTGCACTGATAATTATTACTATCCTTCCTTAAATAAACCTTTATTTGTTCATCGATAATCTAATGTGAAACGCCATTATTGACGAGCGTTTGTTTAATATTACATAACTCTTTATAGAAACTTTGTTGTAGAGTAGTTTTCATAGTGGAGGCTTGTATTTCACTAAGTCGTCCTAAATTAGGTTCGACGTACAAAACGTTAGGAACTTGCAATAATAATAGTTAATGACGCAGCAATCTAGTTGTGATGGTTGATACTTCGATGTCCGACATCGACTGACTCACTCAACACCACTGAGCTCAACTGGCGACCGCTACTACTACTTATCTGTGGGAGAGTCTATTACAATAGAATAAGTATTATGGTATAACAAACTTCCACAACATTATCGGCCCTGACTTGGCATCTCGGCTTCAGATACTTTTCCCGCTGCCTCTTCTATAAATATTTTCACGTTAATTGTTCTGGTGAGCTTTTCGTCGTTGGTACAAATTTAAGCGCAGTACTCGATTGGGAGATAGATCTCATAATCTCATTGTTGGAATTGCTACTTTCGATGCTAATAGTTTTTTCCTCTCGCACTTCTCGCTTATGGAACGCTCTTCCGACTTCTCGTTTTCCTATCAAATACGATCTTCAGAAATCTGTCATGTGAATCGTCATCTTATTAAATCCCGTTCTTTTATTGTCCTATCTATTTCTTTCACAGTCAGCAACTGCTTGTGTCGTAGTGACTTTTATTACGTTGCTTGGAAGCGCCTTGTCATAAACCCCTATTGAGACATAACCTCACTGCCAGACGTCAAGTGAAACTTGTATATATGATCTATGGCTAAAGAAAATGGTCGGATCCCTCTACGGTTCCAGTAAGTACCTGACTCCTCCTGCTATGCTCTATTTTTACAAGATCCTGATCAGATCAAAAATGGAATAATGCTGCCAGTATTCTGGCAACAGTATTCCATTTTTGGTATATCTGGCCTGGAGCATGGCAGTATATCTGGCCTTAAGCTGCCTAGTCTTCACATTCCTTTCTTGCTAAAGTCCAGCAGCGTCTTCATGTCCTTGTAGGTCATGGATTGTTTTCCATTTTGAAACCCCTCACCCCCCTCCACCCCAAATAAAAAACACTGCAAGGTCTCACTACTCTATCGCTATTTCCATGGAAAATAATTTTCCAAAGAAATTGTGGATTTTTATTTATTAATCCGACAAATTTTTTATCACTATAAAGTTATAATATATATATATATATATATATATTTCATAATTTTCTTGCAGAATTTTATTAAAGCAATAAAAAAAGGTTAGACTTATTTTACTTTTCATGATTAAAATGAAAAGCGGAAAATAAAACAAACACAGCCGACCGGTTTCGCCCTCACTCAACAGAACTGGATCGAAGGATTATATATTGCAATAAAAATAAAACAGAAAAGCAATTTGTAATATTAATGAAGGCAGAATAAAATTTAAATTGAAATCACGTTTAGTCCTAACAGACACTCCCTCTGTTTACACACACACACACACACGCACACACACACACACACACACATATATATATATATATGGTAAAATGAACATAGGAAAAAATATTTTCCTATTGTTTTTCGTTTTTAAACTTTTTTAAGGAAAACAACAAATTATGTTTCTAGAAAAAACACGGAAATTCAATTTTAAGTAGCAAAGTTTTAAATCTTCTCGGTAAAAATTCATATATATAAATAAATATCACTATATCAAATATTAGGTGCCTTTTTTCCAATCCTCATTTTAGTCTATACAATAAGTTTTTGTACAGAATCTTTTCTAACAATTTATATATATATATATATATATATATATATATATATATATATATATATATATTCATCCGACATATATTTATCACTTTAAAGTAAAAATAAAAATGTCAGATTAATAAATAAAAATCCATAACTTCTTTAGTAATTGCTTTGTTTACGGTTCGGATACGAAACCGGACAGTTATGAACTTTCGGGAAACTGAACAAGAAAGATTTGCTTAAAAGCAGCATACAGCCTTGCTTTATCGTGACGTTCTTCGTTAAAGCACGTCGAATCTAACGACGGGTTTTTTTTTCTGCAAAGAGAGACGCAGGTTCGGTGCATTTCTCTTTATTAAGATTAATCGAATAATCAAGCCGGTAGACGAGATAAAATAATGCTTAAAATAAACGTGTCGTCTACTAAAGTATCCACTAATTTCTTTAGAAATTTCTCTATCTATCTATCTATCTATCTATCTATCTATCTATCTGTGTGTGGGTGTTGTGTTTCTAGAACTTTCTCCATAATCTGAAGATGGGCGAATTGTCTACCTGTACATAGAGGACGCTTCGAAAACTTACCATGGAATTAGTAAGTCCTCAGATTCATAGATAGTTAATTATAAAATCTGTATTTCTTACATTGATTTGCTTGCTCGTAGTGATGCTACGCAAGAAAAATTCACGTAAAAATATATTTTTCCATTCAAAAGCTTCTGGAACACTTTCAGATGATTTATTTATTTATGTTATAAATGCTTGTACAGTTCTTCGTTGGTGTTTTTCTCACCGTTGAAGCTTGTTAATTTGTTTCTAACACGTTCATACGACTTACCATCCGTTTACTCTTTTTGAAGTATTGCTGCTCAGCTTGAACAATTTACAGTGCTACCGCTTACCAAGTAGGTAAAGGACGTGAAAAACTAATTTCTTATTATAGAAATGATGCCGTAGTATTCTTCAGTCGTAAAAATTTTATCAATCCTTCAAAAAAGAAGATTCTTAAACAAAGTGGAATTTCTGGAAAAAAACATCGTTGACCCCTATTAACATCAAAGGTCATAGTGATTTTCCAAGCGTAGCTTAGATGTATCACAAGGCCGAATGTAGGGGACATCCAGTGAGGACCGAACTCACTACTCAGTCGTATTGTTCTAGCGAGAATTGCCCGAAATGATTTTCTAAACACAGATTAGATATGGTACAAGGCCGAAAGTATGGGGCACTCAATGAGGATCGAAATTACTACTCAGTCGTAAATGTTCTAGTAAGACAAGCTTGCTAACCATTACACCGCCTCGAGGAGCCCTAAAACCAAAGGTCATATAGGTTACAGCATGTGTACTTGTAAAAACTGCCGTTTTGTAGTGTCTTCGCCTCCGACGTTCAAGAATTCGACCAGGTTTTTGGTTTTTATTTTAGTGCTAATTTTGAACACTAATTTTTGGTAGTATATTCTTTCATTCTTCTGCTCCCATTAGAAAAATCATACATTTGACATTTTTCTTAGATTTCGTTTCGAAATAAATTTAAAGAAGCCTCTTTGTTTCATAAATAACGACTGAATTGCATACTGATTTGAATAAAAATTCGATGCTATAATAAAAATAAAACACATTGACTAGTATTTTAACAATTATTAGTCATTTCATATTTTTTTATATATTTGTGGCCGGCTGAATGCTTTTCTTTTTCTGATTCTATGCGATAGTCTTACTCAGATATTACATTTTATAGCAAAGGAAGACAAACTAAAAGGTCTGTTCGTACTAGAAAAATGTCTAAAGTTCGAGACAAGATTTGTATTTCACTATCGTTTTCTCGGACTATTTCTATGTTTTGTTTCTTTGTTCATATTTAATTTTCTTTAAGAAGAAAAAATAACAACACACGAAAAATAATTTCTTGTCGATTTTTTTTTTATCGAAATGCAAGATTTAAATCGGATTCCTGTCGTTTTATTGTATCAGTTTAATTCTGGTCGGCCTGCAGGTTCAAGTGAAAATCTTGCGAGGTGAAAAGGCATGGTTATTTGATAAATTTATGACAGATCGCGCGTGTGCCTGGCCCTGCGTGATGAAAGGTTTTATGACATTTCTTCTTTTTGCTTCTTCTTGCCTTCGTTGCTATGGTGACAGTTTTGTGGATCCTGTATTTATTGAAAAATACATCAAATTTTGGGATCTCAATCAATGTAGAGAAAGATTGGGGGAAAAGACAGGTAACTGAATGCACAGGTAGCGTGTGTGTAACACTGAAGGCATGCCATTGAATAGAGATGATGATGATGATGGAATGAGGGAAAAGAGAACAGCATTTAAAGAAGATGAAAAAGAAAAAGCATAGATAAAGAAAGAGCAAAATATAAAAAGAACACACACACGCATATATATATATATATATATATATATATATATATAGATAGATAGATAGATAGATAGATAGATAGATAGATAGGGTGGTTCGAAAGTCCTATCACCCCTACATAATATAGTTTTTATATTTTAGATGGCTGACACGAAAGTGGTGGTGTTCATACAGACCTTCTCGATGTGTGACAGCGTCAATGAAAATGAATAAATTGAATCCAGTACATCTATTGTTCTCATTACTTTTTGGTAGGGGGTGACAAGACTTTCGGTCCACCATGATGATGAAGAAGAAGAAGAAGAAGAAGAAGAAGAAGAAGAAGAAGAAACGAATAGAAATGGTGGTGACGAGAAAGGGAAAATATTGCTGGGAAAGTTAAATCAAAAAAAGAAAAAGAGGATACGGAAAAAAAAGACGAGGAGGAGGAAGAGGGGAAATAGAGAGAGATAAAGAAGAAGTTGATAGAAAAAAAATATCGTAGAAGAGTAAAATGAGATGAAAGCAAAATGATTGACGAAGAGGACAAGAAGAAGAAGGAGGAGGAGGAGGACGAAACAAAAAGCGGGAAAGAGGTAGAAAAAGAACAGCAAGAAAACAGAGCAAATATAAAGAAGAAGAAGAAGAAGAAGAAGAAGAAGAAGAAGAAGAAGAAGAAGAAGAAACACTGACGTGAAAGAAAGAGAATTTTGGTAAAGAATGCTGAATGAAAAGAAGTGGGTAATGAAAGAGAGGAGAGAGAAATAAAAACAAAACGAAACGTTTGAGGACAAAATTTCAGTCGGAATTTTTATGATGATGAGTTACCTTTAGTAACGATGCGGGTAACAATCAGAATCAACAATCGCTTGATAACAACAGCAAAGATGAGGACAATAGTCTGCGTGTGTATAATGGAAATATAGAATAAAATGTCTTAGAAGAGGAAGCTGAAACGAAAGAATGCAAAAAACACCGACGAAAAGTGCATGAAGAAAAAGAAGTGATAGAGGAAAGAAAGGGAAAATAAAAAATGAATATAAAAAAAGAACGACAGGAAAGAATAATACCGGGGAGAAGGAAAAAATGAAAAGTAAATTCTAAAAGTAATTTTAATTATTTTGATGAAAAAATACTTGATAGAAGGACCAATAAGTATGTCAGAAAAGAAAATGTAACGGATAAAATAAGTATCGATTCGGTGGGAAATAAAAGGGAGAAGAGGAAAGACAAGAAGAGTTATGAGTAATAGGATGAGGGAAACATCGATGAAAGAAAAGAAAGAGGATAACCAAAAAGAAGAAATGAAGATAAATGGAAAAATAAGAAGACTTGATAATCAAACAAGACAACGAAACAGGAAAACTGACCAATTACACAATTCGAAACAAAAGCAAAATGGGCCAGTTAAAAAGCTTCTTCAATATCAAAGCTAGATACATTATTCCCCAACAAAAATGGACACATAAAACGATGGAACAGAGAATAATTTAATACTGACAATAATGAAATAATTGGCAAAAAAAAAAGAAGAAAAGAAAAAAAAAAATGAAAAGGAGTTGAGGCTACCAGCTAAAAAACATTAGATCATAGTAAGCGCCATTACGTAATGGTGGATGAATAGGTGACATATCCTTGTCACCATCATCATCATGACCATGAACAACAGCAGCAGCTGCAGTCAGTGGAACATCACGTGTTATAGCGTTACAGGATCGTAACGTCTGCTTTAAAAAAAAAAAATAATTAAAAATAATTGAATAATACTGGATTCGCTCGCCATTTTCATTCAAAATTATTGTTTATAGGCATTCATTGTTTTTTTTTTCCGTTGAATTTATTTTTTTTATTTTCATTTTATTTCTTTTCACTTTTGTGTAAAAAAATCAAGACTAAGGCGGAAAAGTGAAACTATTTATAAATTTTCGAAGATTTTGTTCAAGGGTGAAGAGAAAAAAAAAACAAAAATGGTATTTCAAGCAAGAACAAAATAAATATCTAAATGAATAATTAACTTCTATTACAGAATATGAAAATATTCATTAAAAAGTGAAGACGAAAAACTAAGAATTGACCATATCTTTAGAATGAATACATAGGCAACAAGGTGGCTATAAAGGAATAATGAAAGCAGGCATGGCAGTGTGGGAACTGTGTAAATATCTATGGTTCGAACATGAACTACGAAACACAGGCTGTCGTAGAAAAGAAAAAAAAAGAATAAATTACTGCATTTAACTGCTTATTTATTTCCATGGAGAAAGACCTTTTGAAGAAAATTAAAATAGAGCGTTATGTTGATATTTTTAATATTTTTCAACTAAGCATAATTTACAATTCTTACTGTTAATACTGTGCGAGTCTGCTTTTTATGATTTCTCATTTGATTTTGGTGGGGATATTGTTTTCTTTTTTGGCATTATATGTATTTTGGTAGGGTTGTATTGTTTGTGTATTTCTCTTTCGAATGACATTTGGTGGTAATAATATTTCTTTAAAAGCTTTTTTCGCCTCTGTAATCATTTTCGTCTGTGTTAATGTTATTAGTTACGACAGCTTTGTGTATTATGTTATTGGTTAGACATTTATTGTGAAGCGGGCAATTTTCTTTTTCTGCAGTTACATTTGATGGTTTTATTTTGCTGCATGTTATTGTTGTTGCAATTGTTATTGGTTATGTTGAGTATTTTTTATTGTGCTTAGTAATTATTTTCTCCATGTTACTCATGCAGCTGTAACTAATTTTGATTTTATTTTTCTTGATAATTTTTGATAATTTGGTGTTTAATGGAAGTGTTTATCAATTATTTTGAAGAATATTTTCCCTCTTTTTCTTTTTATTCCATTGTTTTATCCGTTACAACAATACAATAAAAACAAAATTATACTTAAAAAAAAATATATTTTTTATTCTGTTGTTTTTGTTTGAATTATTTTCGTGTTTCTATTCTAGTTTGTTTCGATATCCGCTGTTTCTTAGGGCTGATTCATATGTAAATTTTTTTTCATAGAATATTTTTAGGATACTAGAATTTGTTGAAATTCTTTTATTCATAGATATGTGTATTTCTTTGAATACATTAAGGGTGGTTGGAATTTTGTTTAAGTATATTGGGTCGTTGTTTGTTTTTTGTATGGTTTGTATTTTCCATTGTTTAGGTTGAATGTTATATTTAAGAAATTTACTAATTTTTATTTGAATTTATATCTATTGTAAATCCTAAGGTTTTGAAGGTTTTTACTATTTTTTTCCGTTGCAGTTTCTTAGAATTAATAGACCGTCAAACTCGTACAGACCTATATCTTTTTTGTTGATAATATCTATTAGTTTATTGATCATGTATATAATAATGAGTTCGCATACCTTAGCATCATCATAGCTACCCATTGTTACATCAGAGTTTTTATTATTATTATTATAATTATTATTGTTATTATTATGGCCCTCTTTGGCCATATGTTCATTGTGATTTAATATCGATTATATATATATATATATATATATATATATATATATATTAGTAAAGTTAATGAGATAAAATGGCGAATTCATTTTAAATTTTAAAAATGCATTAACTCACTAACCATTTAATCAATATTATGATACGTGTTTATGCTTATATATATTATGTATTTGGGTGTCAAACCCTCTTTTATACAAGTTTCGTTAAAAACTCAACTGAATTTATGGATTTTTATATATGTATCTATAATTATAGGAATGCTTTTATTTTCCATGGGTTTGAGGCTATTATATTTATAATGCCTATATGTACGTATTTGTATTAAAAAAAAATAAAAGTAATGGTATCACTAATAGGTGATTAAAAATTAAAGATTAAATCCGTACTGAGTATGCACTGAACACATTTTTATCTATAACATTTAAATAGTTATTTTATTGTTTTTTCTCTTTATAGTATATATATATATATATATATATATATATATATATATATATATATATATATATATATGTCTGATTGAATAAATTACAAACAATATTTTTGTACTACTTGCAGCCCTGAAGATGATCATGGAAGAAGATCGAAAGTACTTGGGAAATGAAAATAAAAAGAAATTAAACAGCTATAGCACATTGCTCTCATCGTTTAACATGGATGCACGGAAAGTTATTTGTGAGGATGAACGGATTTTGTTAAAAATTTGCAAACATAATGGCTGTAAATTAATCAATCAAACATGCCTAAAAGAGAATTTACTACCTAAACACACACACACACACACACACACACACACACACATATATATATATATATATATATATATATATATATATATATGAAACATATCCGATACCACCTACCCAATAACCGTTACTAACCATAATGCACCATTGGCCAGCTTATAAAAATAGTCGAGCCAAGACACAACACACATGGCCTGAAGAGTGCGTTCAAGCATCAAACAGACTGTCGCCGCGCAGTGTTAGCCGAAGTGTCCAATTTTACATTTACATACGCTCTGTCTGCTGTTGAGCACTTTTACCCTTAAATACAACATACCTTTAAATATATATTATCATATATATATATATATATATATATGCGTGTGTGTGTGCATGTGTGCGTGCGTGATATACATATATCTTTGTCACCATTTCTTTTAAACATTTAAACCAGAAAAGAGAAATGACATAATGATTACAACATAAGGTGCACACACACACATAAATGCGCACGCACGCACGCACGCACGCACTTATGGATTCATTTTTTTGACAAGGAAACGTGTTCCCACACTCATTGTATTGCTGTTTCTGACTCAAATTTTGCATTCATGTCCATATATCACAATCATGCATACACACACGCACATACATATCTGTGTGTGAGTGCACACAGCTGCATACTTACTTGGCAGTACATATCCCCACCAATTTCCGGACCGTTGGGTGACAAGCTGGTGCTTCTAGGGAATACATTAAAAATGAAGACAAAATAGACAGGTTTTTCTCCGTCGTATTCGTCGAAGCGAGTCCCTGACACCGACATTGTCCACATAAAAAAAATAAAAATAAAAACTAAAACCAAAGAACCCCACTCCAAAAAAAAAAAAAAAAACCCCCAAAAAAACCAAAAAGATAAAAAAATAAAAAACAAAGAAGACACTGTCCGGTAAGTGTCCAAGCAACTGTCACTGGGTCATGTCTTAACGGACAAAATTATTTTGCTTTTGTCATCTTTTTATTTTCAGTTTAATTTATTTTTTTTTGTTTTCCTGCTTGAATCGCATTCTTTTCCAATTTGCGGGATAATGGAAAGAATGGACTATTTTTTGTCAATGTTCCTCTAATAGTTCGGAATAATTAAAAAAATCATTTGCTATTTGTCATTTTTTCACGTTTTAATAAACGAGTATCTGGTCCTTGTCTTTTTGGAGTTTTATTTATTTATTCTTTTTTTTTATTTTCTCTATCTCTTTTTCTTTTTTTTTTCCTTTTTTGTTTTCATTTCTTTTCTTTTTTTTTTTTTTCATTTTCAGTAAATACGTAACAGGACTTGTGTGAATCCGTTAGCTGGCAACACTGTTTTTTTTTTTTGTTTGCCAGCGCATGTCTGCCAAGTGATAAAATTGATTGTCGACTCTCTTCGATACATAAGACGGATGAATGCTGACAAGGTTCTGCTACAACGAAATATAGAGTTCATCAATTCATTTAAAAGCTGTAAAATAAGAAAAGTTTTCACATTTGAAAACACAAATGAAATAACAGATCCTCTCTCTCTCTCTCTCTCTCTCTCTCTGTGTCTCTCAAAAGGATATATCAATTCTTTTCCCCTTTGAATCTGAATATAAGTTGCTATCATCTTTATTTCTATCTTTCTCTCTTTTCACTTTTTCCTTTCTTTCTTTCATTTGTTTTCCTTTCTTTCTTTCTTTCTTTCTTTTCCTTTCTTCTTTTTTCTTCCTTTCACTTATTGCCTTTCTTTCTTTCACTTTTTCCCTTTCTTTCTTTCTCTTTTTGTTCTTTCAATTCTTTTCCTTACTTTTTTTTCTGCTTTACTTTGTTTCTTTCATTTCCGTTTCTTTCTTTCTTTTCCTTTCTTCTTTTTTTTCTTTCATTTATTTTCCTTTTTTTTCTTTTTTCTTTTCTTTTCTTTCTCCTTTCCTTTCGTGTTTCTTTACCTTTTCATTCTTTCTTCCCCTTTCTTTGGCTTTTCTTTTCTTTCCCCTTTTCTTTCTTTCTTTCTTTCTTTTTTCTTTCTGTCACTTATTTTCCTTTCTTTTCTTTCTCCTTTTCTTTCCCCTTTTCTTTCTTTCTTTTTTCTTTTCCTTTCTTTCTTACTTTCTTTCTTTCTTTCGTTCTTTCTTTCTTTCACTTATTTTCCTTTCTTTTCTTTCTTTCTTTCTTTTCTTTTCTTTCTCCTTTTCTTTCGTCTTTCTTTCCCTTTTCATGCTTTTTTTCCCTTTCTTTGGCTTTTCTTTCTTTCTTTCTTTCTTTCTTTCTTTCTTTCTTTCTTTTTACCGCTGTAATATTTCCACAATAGAGTAAAATAGCAGGACTGAGATGAGCATGTACACGCATACATACGCGCATATACATACATACACAAATGTGAGTATGTGTGTATGGGGAGGGGGGTGATCTCTAAACCAAAGACTCAGAAAGGACCAGAGCAACGGAATCAGCCACGTGGTTTTCGTAATTTAGCTGCATAACAGAGTCTAGTAGCTAGGTATTTTGGAGATGTCAACATCTTGTCGACTCATCGAAACCTCCTAACCTTTCTATGTATTTTGGGGTCGGAAACAACAAACGAAGTTCAAGCAATGTCAGGGCATCAATAATGCAATGTCAGTTCGGTGAGGCCAAAGGATCAGATTGAAACCGGCATCAGCTATTATGGCGACTGTGGGAAAATTTATAATTGTCTTATAAATAATAATCTATCAATGTCCATACATTATCTATCTATCTATCTATCTATCTATCTATCTATCTATCTGTGCAAACATGCATATGTGTTTTTGTGTGCACAGAAATTTGGTCCTTAAGAACAAGTGAATATATGCAGAATGTCCCTCAAAAATGTACCCAATTTTCGACTTCGTGGTCAATTTGAATATTTACAAACATGTATTTATTATCATTTGATATTTAATTTGTATAGTTAATCTTCTTTCTAAGTCGATAATTATTAATATTTTTACAAATTTTAACCATTCACTTTTACAGATATGTCCCCCGTAGAATAAAATTTCCGAACGTAAGTCTATCTAAATATTTGTCAACATCTCAAAAAAACAAACATCGCTCTATTAAAAAATGATTTTCTCTGATATTTTGACTCAAAATAAGTAATATGTTTCGAATCAGGTTAATTAAACTTTAAGGCAATTAATCTTCATCAAATAAAGTTTCAGAGAATTTCTTAATAAAGAATTTCTTACGTTGGGCTGAGAGAATTGGAAATATGGCTAAAATCAGTCATTTTAGAAATTAAAAAAAAAAAAACTCATTCCATTCAATTTAAATTAAGCAATCAATTTTAATTTGTTCTGAAATATAGCAAAGAACTAATTCGAAATTTTAAATATAACCTATTAGCTTGAAATTAAAATAAAAGCTTCGAAAGGTATTTCATTTTTTAAATTTATATTAAACCTTAGGTATCTTTTTTCCTAGGAGTTACACACACACACACACACACACACACACACACACATATATATATATATATATGTACGGATAGAAATGTAAAAGGAAGACGGAAAACAGTCGCTCCTAAAACAACAAAAAGTGCAAATACAAAATTCAAATATGTAGAGCTGTTATATATATATATATATATATATATATATATATATATATATATATATATATATATATATATATATATATATATATCAGTCCTTTTTTCCTGTTGCCCATTTGCATTCTTTTTTCTTTTACTTTTTAGTGGCATTGTTGCCAGTAAATACTAAAAACTTACAAAAGAAAAAAAAACAAATACTTTACGATGTTGTGTGAGTATTAAACCATAAACAATATAATGACCAAAAATTTAGAAGTAGAATTCATTTGAAAATATATAAAGGCATTTAGGCCCAACCATATATATATATATATATATATATATATATATAATTATTTAAAAAAATTGATTCCATCGCTACATAAGAGTTCTCATGTTTCAAAAACAGAAGCCAAAATCCTTCAATTTAATTATAGAAATTAAATTAAATTAAAGTACCTAGTTCTGATTCATCCTCAAGCGAATTTTGGAACACAAATTTCGAAATTTATGGAGCTTTATATGCTTATGCATATACATTCGTAAAAGAATCAAAAACTCTCCGTTCTTGAATTAGACCAGAAGATATGCGTTGTACGAATGTCATCATTCGTTTGAAAATAGGCACGCCAACCCTACCTTGACTTAACGTCTTTTCGAAAATAACTAATATGTTGATGCAATAGTTGTCAGTAAAAATGTAAATGATTGGTTTTCTCCGTTTCCATAGAATTTAATATTACTAATGTATATGCTTATAAAGCTCCATAAATTTCAAAATTTTTTATTCCAAAATTCGCTTGAGGCTGAAACAGAACTAGGTACTTTAATTTAATTTAATTTTTACAATTGAAGATTTTAGCTTCTGTTTTTGAAACATGAGAACTCTTATGTAGCGTTGGAATGATTTTTTTTTAGAAATAATTATAATATAGGCTCTACCTGTGTAATGAGCACTGTTTAGTTTAATACTAAAGAACTTCGGATTATTAATCTAACGTTTCTTACCTATTTTCCTATATATTTGCGCACACACACACACACACATATATATATATATATATATATATATATATATATATATATATATATATATATATATATATATATATATATATAAAGGTTAATGGTCAGCCTTGAATCAGACCAGGAAGAGTAGTATTAAAAATGCTTAATACACGTGAGAAAAAAACAAGTAAAATAAAAATATCATATGGTGCTTTTAACTTTAAAAATCAGGAGGTCAATTAAAATACGCGACCACGGTTTCGACCTAGCGGTCACGTCGGGCGTTAATTTCAAAATAATCACTTTAACGCTTTAGTTAAAAAAAAAAACAAAAAAAAACACAAAGAAAGCTATATAATTATCTTTCAGAAAATATATATGAATTATCTTTCCCCAAAAATATAATTCACTTTCACACACACACACACACACACACACACACACACACACACACACACACATATATATATATATATATATATATATAAACATTACTTACCATCGCATAAAGAATTGACACATGAAACATGTACTAATGTTTGTTAAAAATGTATTGAGCATACGAAAAAGCCCTTCCAAAACAACAACAAAATTCAATACAGATGTTCGATCATTTGTTCAGATTTTAGGATACTGGTCGAGCCGAGAACCTTTCACTCCCGCTTCGTACAAATCTTCTATTACATTGTTTAATTATTTGTTTTCTTTGTCTGTCATCAAAAGGATATAGCAAGCGGTTATGACACGAAATTCTGGAACAAGGAGAAAGACACCGGGATAGAAATGGCGACAACTGGTGAGCAGTTAATATTTTTTCATGAAGTTAGACAATATAAATTTTGGTTCGAAAACTTATTATTTCAAACAGAGAACGATTAGTTTAATCTCTGACTTATAAAAAAAATGAAAAAAGAAAAATGAATGTTTATAAGAGACTTTTTTTTATTGTTCATCAACTCTTATTTAAGTCATTCATCTATTTTTTTTTTGTCCGATTAAAAGGTTCTTTCTTTCTTGAATTTCTTTTTGAGAGACAAAGCTTTTGTTTTTGCTTTTCATTGTTGATATCAATTTTTCCTTTTTAAGTAAAATTTTTTTTCTTTCTTTCTTAAATTTTATTTTTCTCCAAACTAAATTTTCTTTCTTTCTTTCTTTCTTTCTTTCTTTCTTTCTTTGAATTTAATTTTTCCCAAAATCAATTTTCTTTTTTTTCATCTTTCCTTGTTAGACTTAAATTTAGTTCTTCATTAATAAACTGAATATTTAAAAAAATTGTTTCTGTTTTAAATTTTCTTGCTTTCTTTTTTCTTTTTTTTCAGTGTTTTATTTCGTCACTTCAAATTATTTTCTTACATTTTCTCCTATTTTTGCTTATCTATCTCCTCTTTTTATTCTCTCTGAAAAAAAAAACAACAAAAAAAACACTTCGCCTAACCAACAATATAGACCAATTTTTTTTAATGTTATCCCTGAAAATGCAACCGTTACCCAACTCATGACTAAATAAATAAAAAAAAAATCATGTAAAAATAGAAAATAAAATAAAAATCGTGCATACATGTTTCCTAAAAAGAACCCAATGCCATGTTTTCATTCATTCATTTAGTGGGTAATTTATTTATTTATCTATTTATACAATTTCAATTTGTTTACAAGGGTGCAGCCGGAGCTGCTGAGTCACAACGGGCATGTAGGAAAAAGAAAAGTTGATACATGCATTCAAAATATAAAGAGCAAGTCGAAAAAGATGGCGTCCCACCAACTGAAAGAGATTCGTGCCTCGGCCTCGTTTTCATACCCGGATATCACGTGACCAGACGTCAAGACACGGGGATTACAAATATATAAAGGGCTAAATGATGTTGGTGTATTTGCTAAAAAGATTCAAGCCTGTAAGAAAATTAACAATACATTTTGTGTGTGCTAAAATGAACGTGGTGATGTGCATGTACATGTGTATTGCAAACCGAAATAAGGCTGACGGTCATATAACCCCATATATATATATATATATATATATATATATATATATATATATATATATATATATATATATATATATATATGTGTGTGTGTGTGTGTGTGTGTGTGTGTGTGTGTGCGCGTGCGTGTGTGTGGGAAATGGATGTATTTTGTTTTTTCTCCAATTTAAAGGATGGCGGGTATATCACGTTGAAACACCGATTCTAGTACGATCATCATAGTTAAGCAATGTTGAGTCTGGTCTGTACCTAGATGGATGACCGCTTGTGAATATCAGGTGCTGTTAGATTGGATTTTTGAGTGGTGTAATGAGTAACGGCACAGAGATGGAAACCGGAGAGCCGAGTTTCAATTCCAGTCAGGTACGTTATACTCACTCACGCGCCAATACCCTCGGGAATCCATCTCTTCCCTCCCCCGCATCATCTCTGAGGTAATTAATAAGAATTGTATCAGTAGCAACCATTATTATCTCCCAAAGAATTCTTAGGATCTAAAAGTATTTGGGGGCTTTAAATAACCTCAAAAAGATTGATAAACCGTAAAAAATCCCAAAGAAATCAATCAATCCACTTTAAAGATTTACGTTGTAAGATTGATTCTCGTACGGTCAACGAAGTCAAGCAATGTTAAGCCGAGTCAGTACTTAGATGTGTAACCGCTTCGGAACACCAGGTGCTGTAAACTTGGACGTGTGGGTGATATAATGAGTAACAGCTCGGAATTGCTAATTAGAGAGCCGAGTTTCAATTCCAGTTGGGTTCGTTATATTAACTTACGCGCAGATACCATTGGGAAAGATGTGAATCCACCTTTTCTCCCCCCAGCTATGGGTTATTTAGTAGAAGTTATATCAGTAAATCATTATCTTACAATCTAAAACTATTTCCTGGCCTTAACAACCTGTAAAAGGTTGATAAGCCGTAAAAAGCAAATATTGCTAATAGCCATAAAGGATAGGAAGTAGGGGAGAGCTATGATCGTGCACGTCCCAAGGTGATGCGGAACAGAGAAGAAGGAGGAGTTGTCGGAGGTACGGGAAGTGATTGTGTCAGTGATGGCAACTGCCATTATTCGGAAATATTTGAACCATCTGACTTGTTTTGTAATAAAAACAAAATGAAAAAAGAGCGGGAAATTGTCAGTTGTCACATAAAAACATCGATCGACGAACGAGGTTTTCTCAGACATATTTTTCTTTTCTGTTAATCGAGTTCGAAAAACAAAATTCAATGTGGCCGAATAGATGTCGACGTAATCGAGCCATCAACGCACTGACATAATGCTGATATTTAGTTGTTGCATGGTGGGGAAACACATTCGGCATCTAGTGCTGATGGCAGTTGAAATATAGAAAATCTTTCTTTTAGAACAGTTTTTTTCCCCAGATAAATAGGTTTTTCAAGTCCAGTAACTGTTATAGCTCTTTTCAGTATTGATGGAAAATTCCTTCCTATCCTTTTGTTTGAAGTAGTTTGGAACGTCAACATCTTGATTAGGTCATTATTTTATCTTCGAGTTACATGAATCATCCATTTTTGTTGTTGCTGCAGTTGAAATTCCTCAAGTGATGTGATTTCTGTTATTTGGTTCCATTCTTTGTTTGGGATTCTGTAGCGTCAGGCCCTAAGCTTCGAAGATATATATATATATATATATATATATATATATATATATGAGTCAATTTACGATTATCGCCCGAAGAGACCGTCAGGTCAAAACCATGGTCGCGTATTTTAATTGACCTCCTGATTAAAAGTTCTATATCTTATTTTTATTTTTTATTTATTTTTTTTTCTCTCACGTGTATTGAGCACTTTTTAATACTACTGTTTCCTGGTTTGATTCAACTCTGACCATTATATATATATATATATATATATATATATATATATATATATATATATATATATATATATATATATATATACAGAATTAAAATAAAAAAAAAATATAAATTGAATAAATAATGAAAATAAAAGAGATGGCCTTATAAGTAAATCAATTAATATGAAAGAAAACGAATGATAAAGAAAGAATTAAAAGCTGTAACAATAAGAGAACAAATGATGTTCAGTTAAATAAATAAAATAAAAATTAAAAATATAACAAATGACCTTATAAATAAATGATAAAAATATGAAAAAGCAGCAAAAGAAATGACGCCATAAATAAGTAAATGGTAAAACAAGAGAAATTTAACAAATGGCTGGATAATAAATTATAATCAATTATAATTAATATAATTAAACGAATGTCTGTATAATAAATGATTAATTAATAAGAAATATAACTAAAAGATGACAATATGATAAATAAAAATATACCCTTCTCTATAAATAGATGATGAAATAAAAAACTGCTGACCTCATAAATAAATGATAAAAATTGAACAAATGACCTTATAAGTAAATCAGAAAATAAGCGAAAAACATGAAAAAAACAAGAATTATAGAAATCCTTTATAAAAAGAAAGAATAAAAGTAGAAAAGAGAAAATAGGAAAAAACAATGAATGAACTTTTGAATAAATAATAAATAGTCTTTCTATAATTAAATAAAAAAAATTGTGATAATAATGAGACAATAAATAAATGGAATATATATGGCAGAAATAGATGAATAAATAAAAATAAATATTTGAATATGTCAAAACTATAAAAAAATAAACAGCACAAATATAAAAAATAAAAAGGCGAAAAGAAAAATTAATAAATAAGCAAAAATGAATAAATAAGAAAAAAATGAATAAATCAGCAAAAATAATGAATAAATCATTAAAAGAAGGAAACTAAATAAAGCAAATATAAATTATCAAAAAATTAACAAACAAATTAATATTGCGTAATTAAAAATTAATAAACAAATAATGTATTATACCAAAGCACGTAAAAAATTGCATGAGTAAAATTAAAATATTCAACAGAAATTTCAACATAATAAAAAACATAAAATTAAACATATCTATCTATCTCTCCTTCTCTCTCTCTCTCTCTCTCTCTCTCTATATATATATATATATATATATATATATATATAAAGCAAAAAGAAAACGAAAAATAAACAAAATAATTGAAAATAAATAAAAATGAAGGGAAAGAAACAAAACGAAACAAAAATAAACAAGAAAGATAAGCAAAAAACAACAAAGTATAAATAAATAAATAAATAAAAAGTAAAGAAAAATACCGAAAAACTAAAAATAAAAAGGCCTAAATAAAGGTATAATGAATCAGACAAAATTAATAAAAAATAAATAAAGCAAAAGTAATAAATAAATAAGTAAAAAAAAATAAATAAGCGATATTAAATAAACCAGAAACAAAAAATTAAGCAAAAATACGGAATTGCAGCGTTTGTTTTATTTATAGAGACATACATGGGACATATTTACATACATGAGAAATATTTACATACATGGGAAATATTTACATACATGGGGGATATTTATAATGCAGTGCAATCCTATGGGGATCGAACTGATTTTTAATGAACTCCGTGACTAGATCGGTAACCATCACATTATAGTTGTAGGAAAATCCGTTTTTCCGAAATGTGTCGCCCACCCAAAGATTTTTGGAGCTTGATGAGAATAAACAAATTGAAAATTATCTTTTCCTAAATTCCCTGCAATATTTTCAAGACAGTATTCATCCATGTATGAGATAGAAAGGGAGGAGAGAAGGAAATAGAAATTGTAGGAGCTAAAAAGAGTGAAAGAAGGTTGGTATTTGCATGTCAGAGAGAGAGAGAGAGAGAGTGAAAGAGAGAGTGAAAGAAAGAAAGAAAGAAAAAAGTAAGGAGGATTCTATTAGATGAAGAGAGAACAAAATTATTTATGTGTGTTTGAGAGAAAGAGAGAACGGAAGGAAAAAAGTGAAATGACAGTGAAATTGTAAGAATTAAAGAGAGAGAGAGAGAGAGAGAGAGAGAGAGAGAGAGAGAGAGAGAAAGAAAGAAAGAACGAGAAAAAGGGAGGTGGATTCTATAAGATGAAGAGGGAACAAATTATTCATGCGTGTGTGTGTGTGACAGAGAAGGAGAGAGAAAGGTATGGTTCTATGAGAAGAAGAGGGAACGAAATTATTTATGTGAGAGAGAGAGAGAGAGAGAGAGTAGGAGGAAAAGAAAGAAATATAAAATGTAAGAGTTGAAGAGAGAGAGAGAGAGGAATGTTTTGCATATGAATATCAAAAAGAGAGAGAAAGAGAAATAGAAAAAGAGAAGGTTTTATGAGATGAAGAGAGAATGAAACTGTGTGTGTGTTTGTAAGAGAGAGAGAGAGGGGGAGAGAGAGAGGGGGAGAGAAAGGAGGAGAAAGAAGAAGAAAAGGCTTCTCTGATAAAGAGGGAACAAATTATTCATATATGTGTGTGTGTGTGTGTGGCAAAGAGAAGGAAAGTGAAAAGGACAGAAAGAGGGTTCCCTGAGAAGATGAGGGAACGGAATAACTTATGTGTGTGTACGAGAGAGAGAGAGAATGAGAGAGAGAGAGAGAGGGGGGGGGAAAGAAGTAGTGACGTTTTCTATATGAATGACAAAAAGAGAGATGAAAAGAAAAAGAGATAACGATTCTATGTGATGAAGAGGGAACGAAACTTTATGCGCACGTGAGAGAGAGAGAGAGAGAGAGAGAGAGGGGGAGTGTGAAAGAGTGAAAGAGAGAGAAAGGTAGAAAGAGGGAAATTATCTATGTGATGATGAGGTGAAGCTTTCTATTCGTAGGCTTGCATGAATTTCAAAGGGAAAGAGAGAAAGAAAAGAAGGGAGAAAAGAAGGAATGAAGTTGCCGTACATGTGTGTGCGTGTGCGCGAGTGTGCGTAACAGATGTTGTGCACCTGACACAGACTGCTGCAGGTTGAAGTCATTTTTATGAGATTCGATTGCAGCATATTTGATTGCGTCAACACAGATACGCCTAATTCGAATGCAGACACTTAGAGATTGGGCGTGAGAAAGAAAGAAAGAAAGAAAGAAAGAAAGAAAAAAGAAAGAAAGAATTTGGTCACAGCTTATAAAAGAATGAAGGAAAGTATCCTTGTAAAAACTTACAAAAGAAAGAAATAATCTTGTTCATTTCCTAGGAAGGTTAATCTCTCTATATAAAACAGAGGATGTCATTGTGTCTGTCTAGCTGCCTGTCTGTGTGATACCTTTTCACTCGAGATCCGTCTAACCGATTTTGACCAAACTTGGCAAATACATTGTAAAATGTAAGAGATAAGTTCTTAGCGTAAAAAAAATCGATCCTTTAAAAAAAAAATCAATAATCGATAAAGCCGATCAAAAATCGATAAATTCAACTTTTTTTCCGATTTCGTTCAAACTCGGTATGTAGATTACTTACATGGTGACGAACTTAACGGTACCTCATTTTTATTTCCAAGCCACTGCGTTTAAACATAAATCGAATTCAACACAAATTTTAAACTAAAAACACCCTCAATTATCAAGCAATCTAATAAAAATCTTCAACTCCATTGTAGCCAACAATAAGTTGATTGTTTAACAGTCATTTAACTTGATAATTGAGTTCACCCATATAGTAAAAACCCGCGTAAATAGTGATTTTTTTTTCTGATTTCTTTTTCTGATTTCTTTCTTATTTTTTGTTCATCTTTCAACCAATTTTCATCAAACTTAACAATTGCTTTATAAATGTATCCTCTTTTACATCCCTGGTATCACACAAACGAATTGAATTTCAAAAACTCTAAAATAATTGTAGTCTGAAGAGGGACTTCATGTTGCCTGTTTTACTCCTTCATGTCCTCGGCTAAATTCGATTTAATAAATACAGATTACTTCTATTATATCAGTAACTGCATTGATTCAAAATTATTTTTTAATGGAAGTACTTTAAAGTAATTGAAGAAGATAGACTCTGTTACATTTAAACATGATGCTGTTTTTACTCCATTCTAATTGAACGCTTTTTTGGCCGACGAGCTGAATATAGCTGCTAGCAAATAAATAAACACATAAAGAAAGAAAAAGTAAGAGAGAATATCGTTAAAGGTTTTCGCAAGAAATAATTGTTTTTCGAGCTTACGAGTGAAAGAAAGAAACAAACAATGAATGATTTTTATCAGAGCTTACGAAAGAAAAAATGATAAATTTTGTCAGTGAATAAAAAAGAAAAACAGAAAGAAAAAAAATGAAATCTTTTTTTCAGATTATACAAGAAAAAAAAGAAGGAAAGAAAAAATTTTTTTTCAGCGTTAACATAAAATAAAAACGGATAAAATCTTCTTCCAAGCTTGCGAAAGAAAGAAAAAAAAGAAGAAAGTATGAAAAAGAAAGAATGAAAAAGAAAGAAAGAATGAATGAATCTAGTTCGGGGTGTACGAAAAAGATAAATTATTTTTTCACGGAATTTGCGAAAGAAAGAAAGAAAGAAAGAAAGAAGAGAGTGGGAAAGAGACGGAGTAAAAAAAGAAACGGCGAGAGAAAGATTTAAACAGAGAGAGAGAGAGAGAGAGAGAGAGCGAAGAAGGTAAGAGCTGAGGGTAAGTGTGGCAGAAAGGAGAGATCAACAGAGAAAAAAAACTGAAAGACCAAAGAGAATGAGAGAGAATTAATGAAATATTGAAGGAATACAGCAAGAGAGATACTGTGAAAAAGAAAAGGCTAAGAAAGAAAAAAATAACGAAATAAAAGGAACCCGAGAAAGAAAAAAAAAGCAAAGTGCTTATTTACTAAGATTAATTTAGTCATTGACAAGGTTACACCAGTGGAGCATCCAGTGAGGATTAAGCCCACTGCACGCGTAAAGTGGGCCTGCGCGACAGGTTTATTAACCATGACGCTACGGTAGGTGCCTAATCTTAAAGTCAGAGGAATATTTAAGAGGAATGAGGAAGAGCGGGAAATAGTGATAAAGTGACTACAGTAGAAAGAGACGGGATAGATAGATAGATAGATAGATAGATAGATAGATAGATAGATAGATAGCGAGAAAGAAGAGAGAAAGAAAAAAAAAGAGAAAGAAAGAAAAGAGAAAAAAAGAAAAACGCAGAAAGTAACATAGAGAGACTGGAGCAGAAAGAGAAAGAGAAGAAATTACAACGGGAAGGGAGAAAGAGAGAGAGAGAGAAATGAGAGAGAAAGAGAGAGAGAGATTGTAATAGATCAAGATTGAAATGAAGGGACATACAGAGAGGAAAGAAAAAGAAAGACAATGATAGAAAGAGATATAGATAAAATGGAGCAGAAAGAGAGATAGGATAGTACAGCCAGAAATAAAGAAAGTTAGAGAGGCAGACAGACAGAGGTGGGGGAATGACTACGAGAAATACAGGGAGAAAATGAGAGAGAGAGAGAGAGAGAGAGAGAGTAATAGAACGAGATTGAAAAAAGAGAGACAGCGAAGAAAGAAAAAGTAAGGCAATGGTAGAAGCAATGATATTAAAACAATACACTTTCGGTGTCATGTCAGAATAGACATTATACTAAAATTTCACAGCAGGCATCAATAAAGCCGAGTACACTAGAAGTTTGAACTGGGTTTAGCCCCTGCCACCGAATGCAGAAGTACGTGACTTCACACCTACCTGCGGTATCGCAAGCTTGCGGACGAAAAAGTTGGGTAGATGTATATATAAACAACAGCTCCAGTCAGTCAAAGGCAGTCTCTCACATACTGCAGGCAGAATGTAAGTGAAAACGTATAGAACAAGAGGCGTCCGAGACCGCCCGCGTAACACACACTGGCTGAGAGTCTTTATCTTGACTTGGCTTTGCGAACGAAGATTTATGAAGTGGGCTGCCCACGTCGACTACAGGCGCGCTGATGGCCGACTAGGCCGATGCAGGAGAGGCAAGTCCGGCCGATGCGGGACAGGCAAGTCCGGCCGCAGTGACTGCAATTAAAGGTCTGGTCGGGTATAACTGCTGAGGCATTCTGGTCCTCCATCCCACGGCATTTCTCTTTCATGTTAGCCTTTGCGAGAGTCCTCAAAATTGGATACGGCCTGGTGGACGGTGCGGTGCCAAGCTTGACGGTCAGCAGCAAGTGTCGATCACTGGTGATGGTCAATGTGGCAAGTACTGAGGGACTTCTTCAGGGAGTCCTTATGGCGCTTCCTTGGTGCATCTCTGTCACGGTGGCCAGTGGAGATTACGCCGTACAGGGCTATCTTGGGCAGGCGATGGTCTCCCCATTCTGGAGACGTACCCTGCCGAGGGTAGCAGTGACTTATAGAGTAATTCAGTAACATAGCTGAGAGTAACTGACAAAATATTGGAGTGAATAATATGTTAATTAATGAAGATCCAACTTTAGCGTTATCATTTAATCTGTACTCCAATTCATTAGACACTGACGTGCCAAAAGTTATAACATAACAGTATGTAAATGTGATTGATTTGCTTGTTTAACGGCATATCAACTCCATGTGGGACATTTAATGTCGAAATTTAATTGAAATATTTTGAACACAATTTCAAGGCTTCAACTACAGTTAAAATGTATTGTTGGTAATTTTACTATGAATATGTATTGTTGGTATTTTTGCTACAAATATGTATTTCTGGTATTTTTACGATAAAAATGTATTTTTATACTTTCATCGTGTTATTATTTTTGCTTGGTGGGGGTTCACTATTTGCCCATAGCTGGGACCCTAACAGGTGCTACCACCCGAGATCAGGGTGAACTTGGGAACACTAGCAATTACGAGGTGTTTCCATGCTCCTAAAAACCTCTAATCTCCCGATCAGCAAATTGTTGCTGGATGGAGTTCATTGTCATACCGAGGACTATGTAATGGTGAAGCCCATGAGTTAATATGAATAATGAATTAATAACTGAATATTGGTAAAGAAATATCTCAAACTTTCTCGCCCAAAAGAAAACAATGGAGAAGATAAAGTTGTAAATAAAATGTAATTATTAAAAATTTATACATCGTCTCAAAATCTCAGACGAAAAATACATTCACAAAAATAAAGAAATAAATATTATATGAGAACGTAAATCTTTACAGAGTAATGTTAATATCCCATAATGCCAAGCCAAAAACTGCCTTGTGAAGAAGGTAGTTGCATAGTTTTTTTCGAGCACTAGTGAGTACTATGTATAAATTTTATATACACAGCAACCAACCGTAACTAAAGGCGGTGATGGATGGAGTGATCAAAGAGTGGACGTGAAACATGAAAGACACGACACGTCACCGAATGAGATGATTCGAATCATGGACTAGGTGTACGTCGGCAAGTAATAACGTAGATTTAGCCATGGAATGCACATATATATATATATATATATATATATATATATATATATATATATATATATATATTCATTATATATATATATATAATCATTATATATATATAATCACTAGCAGCATGGCCCGGCGTGACCCGTGCTTGATTCAAAAATCGTACGACTCATACAGCAATCGCTATCACTTGACTTAAAATATTTTTGCCCTTCCTTGCCTTTAAAGGACTGCCCTTTGCCGTGCTGATGCTGCTACATGCCTTACTTCTTGCCTATCTCACACTGCGAATTTTTTCTAAGCTCTACACTAAACATTAAATCTGTTACGAAAAAAGAACTAAACAAAATGAACACAAAACGATCAGCTTTAAAAAAGGACTCATAACTGGAAAAACCAAATGAAAAAAGAATGTTAACATCAAATACTTTTTCACACCCAACCCAGTTCTGCGGAATCAGAATCAACGTTGAGTTTAAGCAAGCGAATGAACCAATTGGAGTAAAGTGCCATGCAGATTTAAATTTTTCCCACTTGTGACGAATGCAGCTATCAATTTTTTTGCATGCTAGCATGCTAGTTAACATTCGTGTCAGTCAGCTGTTGGCTCTCACGCTGGCCAATAGAATCTTCCTGCCTATTCGCGGCAGCCATCTATAGGCACTCACTCTGGCCAGTAGAAAATGGCCGCAAACTACACGAAAACTTCTGTAGAAGCATGAAAAAATCGATTATTTCCACTATCGATGGGAGTTGGGAAATGCAAAGTCGGTCTTGGCCTTGTCGCTAACTTGGAGCATGTTCATGTAAATTTTGGTGCAAATCCGTGGAAAATGGCGCCCGTGCATTCGTTACACACACACACACATCCTGCCTTTTATAGATAGAGATTATATATATATACATATATATATATATATGCGTGTGTGTGTGTGTGTGTGTGTGTATACGGTTGGATTACCCAATGCCTTAGCATGAGATTAAGGGCGCGCTGTGACACACTGACTTTCTTTGTTGGAATTGTTAAAGAGATTTCAAATAAGTATTGTTCTACGTCTTTGCTGTCCTCCATTCTATATCCAATATCACGACAAAAAACAAGAAACATTTCTTGAAATCTCGCAAAACAATTTCTCTTACCTCATTCTCTCTGGCTAATGGAGGAGAGAGTTGCCAACTTTGATCTTCAAAAATTTAAATGCAATGTCAATCGTCATCTATTGTCTTCCTGATGACACTTCTATTGTTCTCTCTCCTTTATAATGTTTCTCTTTTTTTTTATTCTTTCACATTCAGTAACCCCTTGTGTCATAGTGGCTTTAGTGCCTTGCATGGGGTGGAATTATTTAAAAAATAAAGAAATAACAAAAATCTTGTCATTTGTAATATTAAGCACACAGCACGAGGGGCAGAAACTTCAATTGATGATTGTCAAGTAAATGCAATTCCAGAATATCTCCGATTTATCAGATGGTTAAGGTCCGAAAATCAGATCGTCAATTGAAAAATCATAAATCGATTGCACTTTCAATATATTCTATAAAGTGAAAGGATTTAAGTCCTTGTCCTTAAAAAAGTACATTCTTAAAATAAGGTTAAATTAAATACGACTTTTCCAGAATTGTTTTATTAATTAAAAGAAAAAAAAAGTTCACAGTATGTAATTAAATGAAATCAATTAATTAAGGTTCCTATAATTGCAAAAATTAATCACCAATTGCTTCAGATGCAATTTCAGTTGCTTTTTTGTTTCATAACTCCAAGACAGTAAGCAAGCAGCGAGGATCGCAATCAGTTTCAATCTTTATTCTTCAGATTCTACTAAATAGGTTGGGAAGAACAACTGTTTTCATTAACTCAAATCTACTATTTCATATTTTATTTTCTCCGAACGCCTAATACGCCACCATGTTTTGTTTATATGCATTAACTGAATTAATAGGAATGTGATTCAAATATATATTTCCGATCAAGTATGTCTACCTATGTTTATTTGATCGATTGTGGAATAATAATCATTTGAATGTAGCGATAAAACGCAATTGAAATTAAGACTGAAACAAACATTTTTTTGAAAATGAATAATCACATATATATTTATTTTCTGAAGTTTTATGACTTTAATTATTTTTTTATTTTTGTTATTCGTTGATCTAAAATGAATTATGAAAATTCCTCATAAAAATTCGACAGATAATTCTATGTATGCATGTATGTATGTATGTATGTATCTCTCTCTCTCTCTCTCTCTCTATATATATATATATATATATATATATATATATATATATATATATATATATATATATATATATATATATATATATATATATATATATATATATATCATCTATATATGAAAAAATAAGGAACAAATAAGAAACTTTTTACAAATTTAACATGCTTCATCAGATAATGAAATATGGAGGAGAAAAGAAAATTCTGGTAATTTTAATTTTGTCTTGTTTGTTTTTCATTGCTTAAGGAGACCTCACGTATATTTTTTCTTGTTAAGTAACATCCGTGTATATAATTCTAGTGTGCTTGCGTATTATAATTCTAGTTGGACTTTGCGGGATTTGGTTGATAGTGTGTGTGTGTTTGTACGTCTCGTGAGCATTTTTATTTATGTTTGGGAGTGCCCGTGTGTTTAGGCTGCACTGGCTGTGGTTGTAGGTAAACAGATTCTTTAAGTATGGATTTTATAAAAGTTTGTGATATAATAAAGTGAGTTTCACGCTTGTTTATCATCTACATATATATATATATATATATATATATATATATATATATATATATATATATATATATATATATATATAAAAGAAAGAACAGTAAGATATATAATGCGGTGTTCTTATTGATATTTTTATTTTTACAAAATAGTGCTCAATGTAAATTTACAGAACATTAATATTACAAATTAACTGATCAGTTAATTTATAATATATATATATATATATATATATATATATATATATATATATATATATATATATATATATATATATATATATATATATATAAAATTCTTCGTGTGTGTTTCTCTTTTCTTCTTATGTAAACTTTTCTTTTTATTATTTTGCTTTATTATCATTTTTTTTAAATCGTTTGAAGTAATTCAATTCTTACACAATGCTCCTGATCTTCCCGCCATTTTTTAAACCGATATTTTGCGCAAAAAATGATGGAAAAACGGCAAAGAA